TGTGTGTGGGGGGGGGGGGGGGGGGATCGTGTCTGTCACTTTGCCTGTGATTTGATATGAATGATGCTCTTGAAGAACAAATTTTAAATCACATTTTATGTTTTAATCTGTTATAAAATAATAAACCTAATAGGATATTAGTATCCACAGTATCTAGTCCTTCAGAACACAAAGAGCTCCGAGTTGTGTATGTTTAACAAAATATAGGAACAGCAATTACTAAATGTCTCTGTGCAGAACATTTAATTAGTTTTATCAATAAATTCAGTAACGTATTTGTTCTGCTGAAGATTGCTGATTTCTGGGTAGGTGCTTGCTGCCTCCATCATCAGGATGATCACTCTGATGATGAAGGCAGCAGGCAGTTCCGAAACATCGACAGACTTCTACCAGACATCACAGTGCTACAACCCAGAAAACAGCGATCTTGATAATTGCCACCACGAGAACCTGAAATGTCTTATATTTGTTCTGCTGATTGGCCCTGTTTACAATAGATTTGCATCTGTAATAAATTAACATGGAGATCATTGAAGATTATAACTTCACAAAGATGGCCCAGTTTCTGGTTATAAGAAGAGACAGTACAGCAGTGGAAGACATGAATACAAGAATACTTTCAGCAATGTACAGTTGGATTGAACTTTCATATTGTCTGTGTCATAAGGAAACCTTGTAACTCCTCAAAACTGAGAAAATGAGATTCCCATGTTGTCTAGTAGCAAAGATTCAAACTGAAGTGATAGAAATTAGAAACTCTATTAACTCCCAGTAGCTTTCTTGGAATTACAATTTTTTAAAACCAAATTCAAAGGTTAATTTTGTTGTTAACAAAAGCCTACATATTTTTCTCTAAAATTTATTTCATTGGTTCTCTTCTGTGCTAGGATCTCTTCTTTTTAGGTTTTCCAGTCAAATGTTTGTATGATTGAGTGTTTTCCATGCATCCTGCATCTGTTCTTGGGTTGCTATAACAATTTGTCTTCCAGTCAGTATGATCAAGCAAGTTGGTATCAATAATCACAACACTCATATTTGGTTGGGTACCTGAACCCATTTTGAACCTCTGCTTAGGTACTGGCCATCCAGACTGAGTTCTCCTATGGTTTTTCACAACATCCCCAGGTGTTAAGATAGAATTAAACAGGCTACGTCCTCCTTCCAAATCATTACGTACTCATTATTTTTAGTCATGTCATGAAACAACGTCATTAACGGATCTTTTGCGTTTGGCAACGCCGGTAATGGAGAGTGAGGAACAATAGTCTGATGATCTTAATTGCCCTGGAGCCTCCATGAGTGACGTCAGGCAAGGATGAAGCAACGTCCGAGTGATGATGGTGCCATACATTGCACGGCTCAAAATTGTTTTATATACCCTGTCAAATATGCGGCCCGCAAAGCTCCGTCATTCGACGATCCAATTTACTTTGTGTATCCGCCGCATCGAAACAATAAATTGTTCAGAAAAATGTGTAAAATTACTTGGACTTTCTTTTACAATTTTCAGAAATGTAACTTTTACAAAAGTATTGTTTGTAGTCCTCGGAATCCCTTTTATGTATTAGTAATTGCAAGAGTAAATTAATCATTTGAAATGTAAACTTTGTAAATAAACTAAGTAACGTTAATGATTGTAATAATTATTTTTAATTATCTAATACGTAATTACATTTTCAATAAAATATCAAATATCTCGCGGCCTAGTGGTTAGCATTCCTGTTTCGTATTCGGGAAGCCCCCGGTTCAGAACTTGACTCTTAAAATGGTTATTTTGAGTGAGGATTTACATGGTTTTCATCAGTCCCTTCAAACAGATGCCGGGATAGTTCTTCATATAGACCACTTAATGTCCTCAACAATTCATTACTTAATAATCATCCTCATTGCACTTAATTAAAACGAAAGAGATACAAGGTTCATTCAAACGATGTCAGTGAAGTCTGATGTTTTATGACAGACTGGGAGGTCAAAAACGCACGAAATACGTGCGTTGGCCATTAGCAGAGACCATTTGCACGCAGTTTACGACACGTAACTGTGACGTCACTGATGAATCATGTAATGAGGCCGGAACAGTTAAATTACACTCACGCTCAATATTTTATTCGTTCTTTTGAGTAAAGTGAAGTCTGGATGTTGAGGTTGTGAATGAGCCGTGTAGTCAGCCTAGCCAGACAGATCTCGGCAAGTTGCAGTGCAGTTCCTCCACCATCTCTGGCTGCTTGTGGATTATCACCGGTGGATAAATTTCCCTACCTTAATGCTAATTAGTACAACTAGCTGTACAATAGTTACGCCTGGTATATCTTGTAGGTAATACTACTGTCAAAATAACATGCCGGTGGATTTAAGTTTGGTAGAGAGTCATTTATTTTTTTGTCCCAATAGTCGACTAAATTTTATAGCCCTCATGATGGAGGCATGCAAGTACCTCCGAAACGTCAGTAAACTTTTACCAGATTGCAAACGGCGCAAAACCCCAGAATACAGTGATATTCACTTGATGAGTATTCACCCTCTTATGTCACGAATACGTAGAAGTCTTTTTCACATTTTTTTATCTCAGTTGTTCACCGGGCCTCAAGAATGAATCCCGCTGACAGAACTTTGAGAATCTTGTATCTGGATTCCTGTCTTAGATGTTCTGACATACTGTATACTGGAAATAGACGTTCTCTACTCGGTGTGGGTAGAGGTATGTGGTATAGCGTGACTCAATTCGCCTGCCAACATTTCTTAGGCGTCGTATTCAGACGTAGAGTTATCTATCCTTTCTCAGGAAGTCACTCCCCATCATTACAGCGTCTAATTAAACATATTAGCTCGTTCAACGCCGCTTTATCATTTGAATATCTGGAAGGACGCGAATAGAAGGAGGAACTGAGAAAATGCTGTAGGCTGAAATTCGAGTCTGGAAATTCCAGAATACGAAGTAGGAATGGTTGATCCTGAAACAGATGTATACAGTATGCGGAAATTTAAGTGGCTGTATGGAAAGCGTACTGTAGAGATTAAGTGCTGTTGATAGCGTGATCACGGAACTTTTTTGTGAAATAGCGCGTGGATGAACTCGTCTGGCAGAGCGTGACAGGTGGGAGCCACAGCTTTGCATTCATTTCTGTGTCGTGGTAACATTGATACACTGTCGTGGCTGAAAATACATTGGCGTGATAAATTTTAGTGCAGTTAACGGTATGGAATTTTATCTGAATCGTACAAATGATTTAGGTGTTGAACGAGGCAATACCCGATTTCTTAACTTCGTCTGTTGTCAACACTGATATATTTCTGTGGCTCAAAACTAAGTGTTCTCGACAGATTTATTTTTAAAAGCTCTTGTATCAGATTAAATCAGAATGTGTCAATTAAAATACGAATTTATTTATGCGTGCAGACAGACAGTTAAATCGAAGATTGTAAGTTATTCGCACTAAGTTGAGACACGTGGTTAACATGAAGAAACACACTTGTAAAGATTGTGTGTTTTTTAATGAAATTGTCTGCAGTCAGATTCGGAACCTTTGAATCCGAAAACAGATTTCGTCCGGAGATATGGATTAGCTCTATCTAGTGGGCCCAACTGTGTACGAACCTGAAGACGGAGATAGAGTCCCATCTCCGAAACGTCGTTTTACGTTTTATATTTTATATTTTACTACCAAGGGAATTTTTATTCAAGATTTCGTTTTGCCTTTGGATCTAGTCCCACGCCTCGAAAATGTTATTAACACTAATTTACGTTTTTCTTCAAAGTAGGCAAATGGGTGATTAAATTCAAGGTTTCAGAAACCCGGAGATCGGATGTGCTGACAGGTTATTCACGTTGAAGATGGCAGTCTTCTGGGTTATAGCGCCGTGTAGCCTGGTAGAAGTTTACCAACGTTTCATAGATCTTTGCTGTCTCAATGTATCTGTCAGCCCTCCTTTCGAAATCATAGTTCACAGTCATTCGATGCTGTGTCCATGCAAAGACCTGCATATTCTGTTCAGCACGTGTGCGCGTTGTGTTTGAAAAGTGTTAAGAGCTCTTTGGAAGAAGCTGTCTTGTAGGCAGAATCTTTGGGAACATCCTGTTGTCTGAAGCCACGGTGTAAGTACACCTTGTGAACAGTAATCAGTGCATGTTGCTTACCTGTCTGGAACAAAGACATGCTTTCTTCGCCTGAAATTCGTCAGACCCTCCCCAAACTTTACGTCATCAGGACATTTATTAACACGTCTGGTACGTAGCTAAGCGCCTCGCCATGCAGACGTTTCGGAGAAGAAAGACGTTTTCATGGAAATATATTTTTGTTTAACAAGGAACGAATTATTCCCTTAAAGGCAGAATTTCTAAGTGTCTTTGAAACGTTCAAAGGATACACGAGTAATATTTCTCTGTGCTTATTTCTTTCTTCGAAACGAGTATGTCAGATTGGCTGAATAAACATTTGGGTGAATGTTCATGATTAATTTACTATTTAGAATGCTACCGTTTAATCACTTTGACGATGGAGGAAGTAAACTCCTCTGAAACGTTGGTCAGTTTATACCAGATGACATCAGACTGTTCATTCCTCCATATTTCATATGGGAGTGTTATGACAGAGCGTTAATATTCCTCTCAGAGGTTTCATACTTGTGTCATATTTCCACCGTCCTTGTATTCAGCACGTTCTTGGTAGCCAGTAGCAACAACACATGCATTTCCAAGTCCCTTTAATGTATGCGAGATTTGCAAGATATGGACTGTCACTGTTACATGTATGTCAGTGTTTTGGTTGCGTTGCATCACCCCTGGAAGTGACTTTCCGAAACGGGACTGGTTTAGTCAGCCGGAAGAACTGCATGTGGGTGGGTGTAGTTGCGAATTGAATGAAATGAAATGCAAAGTAGCCAACACCTCACACATTCGATGTTCATAACCTCACAACACTTTTTTCGTACGTTTTAAAGTTAGGAAAACTAGGCGAACGTCCAGTGCAGATGCGTCATGGTGAGGAGGTGTGGAATTTACGCAGCTCAGCCGACATCCTGTGAAAGTCGGGGTTAACTGCGTGTACTTACATGCGATGGGCGGGATGATGGGTGTCGATTCTCGTCACAGGCAGGAAATGTCCCATTCGTCACAACTTCAGTACCGGGAAGGTGCTATGGTTGAGAGTTCATTCTCGGCATTGCCAGGACCATCGATCCACATTTGCAGTGATCGCCGGAAATATTACCCCAAGAGTAAAGCCGGCCTGGCCGCTGAGCTCTACTCACATCTATCTGTAGTGGTCTAGAATGAATGTTGTCACGGCTTATTGCACAGAAATTGCTGTGGTGTTATAATTATTTCGTGTTTTGGATAATCTATTCATATTCTGTGGTACATCCACTTTTGCAGATGTTGTCCGTCCAGCCTGATGGCGCCACTGACGAAGATCGTCATTGACGAGATAAAGTTCGCCTGCAAGAAGCAACCCACAGCATGCGGCTATCGCTCGTCCGAGAACAGTAAGTTCGCGAACCGCTTGTCGAATGCCATTTTATTCAACGTCAAAATAAAATATACCGAATTTAATCGAAATCTAAAATGTCTTATGTGATTACTAATTGCATGCTACAGGGATTCCCAACCGCACTTCGGAGTTATGCAACTTACCAAGTCATTTCTCTGCTCCTACCGTTGGATCCTTTTCTTAGCTAGCTGAATCCACTCCTCATGTGTTCATCTATGACTTGATCTCTCCCTAGGGTTTCTTACTTTTAATCTTTTAACTAAAATGTTCGTATTTATTTTGTTTTCGTGCTTTCAGCATTGACCTTCTTGGCTTCATCCGTCTATTGACGACATTGATGGACCTATCTGGCTCAAAGTTTTATTTGCTCTGCAGTTTTAGTACCGGGTGTCATCAAAACATGACCACTCAGAGACCAGTAATTTGTATGGTTGGTCAGTGTGGCTGTTTCTTCTTCTTCGCGAATCAACACTTGGTCGTTCAGAGCTAATGCCACTTTCTGGTGCATCTCAGCAAGTGGTTAATTAATCTGATGAACTCGAACCTTCTCATTGTCCACCCACATGCCTCTTCCACTCGACATGTTGATTCCATCCTTCAGTTGCTTACAAAATTATGTGGACTTGGGACTTACTGGAGCGGAACAGGCTCTAGAAGTACAGACAGGGTGCCCTAGATGTTAGCTCTGTAACGTGAAATTATTAATACGTCAAACTTTACAGACGTGCATGCATATAATATATCTAGTTTTAATGGTGAGTGTTGGTCGCGCTTTGGTTCTTCAGTGAGAATATCTTTTTTTCCTTCTGATGATAGAACACTTGGCCAAACGAAGTTCCACAGGGACTTCGTAACTTTGATGTGTTTGCACATTTACACAGATAAGATAACTCTTATCTCACAAACTCAGAGGCGAGGCGAAAGGTGGCTCCTAAACGTTTGTAAAACAATTACGAGTCTACTACACTCGTTCAATCTAACGGTGTCTTTAGGTGACGTCATATAGATGTGGTAAGAAAAGCTGCAGCTACTGTAGGAGACTGGGTTACTTGCATGTTCTGGTCGCGCACCTGCACAGTTTTACTATCCGTTTCAAAAACATCGCTCTTCTTTTACCCCCACCATCTTACCTTCTTTCCCTTCGTGCTCAGGATAGAGGCCACCACAAAATAAATGGACTGTTGTAACTGCGCACTCCACCGTAACGTACGCGCAATTTATCAAGTGTGTTATTTGATATCGATATTGAATGTAAACAAGTGTTTATAACCATAAACATGCGACATGAAATTTAAAAGGTTCACTACTTTTAGTAAAAAAACAGAATGTTCTCCTGTGCCCAAGCACCCCTCTCGATATGCGAATAGTGAGCGCGGGAGGTGGTAGGCGAATCCTGGTCTAGAAGTCAGTCCGTGTGGAAATGCAATATTATTAGATCCCGCTAATAACTGCACCACAATGCTAAGGTGTATTATTGTTATTTTATAAACAATCCACGTATTATTATTTCTTTGTTGTATTATATAAGAAAAAATGTTTCTCCAATTGTCTTGGTCTGACGGTTCACTATTAGCCAGACCGTAAAATTCACCAGTGGCATGGATGTGATTCTTGCTTTCTTAGCTGGAGGTCGCTGGTGAACCACCAGAGAAAGACCCCCCCCCCACTCTGGAGACTTTGTGCCAATTAGAAAAATCCTCCACCGACAGCGAATCGAACCCAGGAAATTGTTGTAGTCGGTTTTTATAGACCGACGTGTTCATGTGGTGAGATGAATAAAGGGAAGTACGCATTTCAGTGGGTGTGTGTCTTGGTAATTCCCTCCATGTTGCGTGTGTGAGAAAGGCGATCAAAAGTCCGTGGTTGTGTGCCATTGCGCCATGTATTTACTTAGGTCAGTCAGACAGTTAATATTAGAATAACAAGGTGCCTTTATGAACAGTCGTCCAATTGCTCTCAAGATTAGCATGGTAAATAAAGACATTTAGCCTTATCATTTGTTTTATGACAAGGTCAGAGATTTTCAGTCATGCATATGATGATATATTACGCAACATATCGTGATGACTTAATCTCCCCCCACCACCTTAATCGGGATTAAGATTGACATCACAGAGGAAAAATAACTGCTTTACAAATGACTGGCAAGCAAAAACTGTTGTCTCCTGCAGACAGACTTCTTTGGAACAAGGTTGAAAACGATTGTGTCGATATACATTCATAGACATGAATATCGAACATACACAAACGTAACACATGCAGAGTGAATGCCCAGTGCCTTCGAATTTAATTTTTTGGAGTCCCGCAAAACTCTTAGAGGATCTTGTGTTGGTTTTTCAATCCCTTGCTATGGAAATGTAGCGCTGCCGTGGAGTACAGTCTCGTTCAGAAACAAAGGTGTGGGGTAAGGCATTGGATGAAGAAAAGAAGTAAAAATAATGAATAATTACAAAATAAAAAATTATGTTTTCAGTCAAGAGTGTATAACGATTGTTGTGCGGGACTGCATAACAAAAGATCCGAATGCATTGAACGTTCGTCCCATATGTGCCGTACACTTTTGTAGGTTGTTGTTCGCATTGTTGGGTTACTTATGCACATGGAATTGTGTACTGTAAATATGTATTGAATACTTGAAGGGATGCTTTTAAAAATGTCGTGAGAGAATTTGTTTATGTTTTTCTCCTCATTGCATTGCAGTTATTCGGAATGAAAAATGTCTCGACATATCGTATTTTATCGATTTTAAGTCGCCGTCGATAATAATAGGTTTTTAGGGAAATGGACGCCATATCGATTCTTAGACGCCATCAAATGAAAGACATACCCCGATTTAAGACATTTTAAATTAAAAGAAAAGTGCGGCTTAAAATCGAGGAAGTACAGTACGTTTACAAAGTAACGCGATTAGACCTGCGTCGTGCTTGCACATATGTGCTGATTCCTGTATCCATCATTGCAGCCTATCAGCCATTGAGGCTGATGCAGGTGGTGACTGGAAAGGTGAATGAGGTTTGCTTACGATACTGTGACAATGGAAAGTTGGCAACACTTCCTCCACCATCCCCAGGACCTCCTATCTCGTCTTGTGCCATCAAGAATACAAGGCGCTGTATGGAGGACCGCCATGTTATCATAGAAGACTTCCACACTGTGTTCAATGTTCAGGTATGTAATATTTGAGGTTTTCACAGCAGTAAGTATGAAGATTTCTGTCTTCTGGGTTGTTGCGATTCATCGCCCTGATGTCGGAGGCAGTATGACCTCTGAAACGTTGGTTTACATCGACCAGACTACACAGCGCAACAACCCAGAAGACAGAAATCTTCAATATCTAAGTAAACTGCAGAGGTAATTTTGTTCTTGTTGAAAAAGAGTGGGGTTGTCGATACCATCTGATGTGATAACCGCAGAACACATTCAGTATGAGGCTATCTGAAACATGTTTACTTATGGTGTGTAGGTTTTCATTAACCCAAATCCTGCAATTATGATGACTCATATCACCCCTTGTAAGACAAACTTTGTGCACAACCAAATGAGAAAAGTAGTGACCATATGATGTGAAGCTTTCACGACGGCTTTCATTAATAAAGTCTTCTCGGGCTATCAGCCGTGTTAGATGGTGATTCATCGCCAACATTTCGAGGACCATCTCTGTCCTAGCACTACGAGGCACACAGTAAACAGTGTTGAGAATGAGGACAGAGATGGTCCTCAAAACATCGGCAATTAATCACCATCTAACACGGCTGATAGCCCGAGAAGACTTTATTAAAATACTGACCAATCTAGTTGCACAGTGGTAAAAATTCTGTGAGATACAACGGTAAATTTCATGATAACTAAAGGTTAATAATTACCAACTGATCTATAGCTACGTTGCCACTGTCTCTGCTGTTCCGATACGAATACACACTTCTCTCTGTCTGCCCGCCCATCTTGCAAGGATCAAGCCGCTATAAAATGACAGAACATAACAAAAGTATTTTAATGTGCGATGAGTGAAACGTGCGTGACTGCCCCAGGACCGAAGCCCTGCCAGCTACTATGCAGTGTTCGATGGTCATGCTGGGACAGATGCGGCAATGTACAGTGTGAGCCACCTTCACCAGTTTCTTGCTGAAAGTTCTTTCTATCCGACCGATCCAGAACGAGCGCTCAAGGATGCTTTTTCCAGGACGGATTCACTCTTCCTTGAGAAGTCCAACAGAGAGGTAAAGGATTGTGGCGACAATATTGTTCTAATTTATAAATTACTAATTTACTGTTTGTTAATATAGAACTGTTAATACTGCATGCCATCAGACATGATTCTTATTCAGTTTCTTCCAGAATCTGTAGCCATGATTCCGAGCCATTTGCTCTCATCTTCATATCGTGTTTCCCTTAAATCCATTTTAGTATTATTCTTTCATTGACTCAGATTGAACAGACCGTTGTCGGCAAAGAGGCAGGAAAAGATGTTCTGAGTTATGATGCCATTTAGACTCGTAGGTAAATACTGACATTTCAGTTAAACATACTGTTTCCATCTTCAGGATTGAAGTGACTTGGAAGTGGAGAGTTTTTATAGGGTCAGAGGATTGGCCAATCATAGGCAAGGAATGAGGAGGACATGATCTTTGTCAATATAGAGTCTCTAAGTAGGGATGCAGAGAGGGTGGGTTAACCCGTTTCCCATAGCCAGCCATTCCTGTGACCCTATAAACTCTCCACTTCCACATCAGCCCTGAAGATGGAGACAGTATGTTTTTACAAAATATTGGCATCTACCTGCAGGCTTACACAGTGTTAATCTGGCAGAACATTGTCATCTTCAATGCCATGAGAACCTTCAATTTAATAAACTGTTTATGTTGGTCAGATCTGAAACAACAGGTAGCCTGCTGGTTTAAGCCCATGTGGGATATTTCTGAGATGAGATTGTGTTTGCAGAACTTGAAGAGTGGTACTACTGCTGTTTGTGCATTGCTGAGACCGAAAGAGAAGATGCTGTATGTGGCATGGCTCGGCGACTCACAGGCTTTTCTGGTTCGTAACGGCCAGGCCGTCAAGGTTGTGAATCCCCATAAACCAGATAGACAGGTATGGAGCATCATTTATGTGTGAACTGTTCTGTCTTATTTGGGAATTTTTATGTAATTTTTGAACTAGTTGTTTTGTACGGCTGAAAAATGGTCTCTCATTCTAAGAGATGAATTTCTTCAAAGAGTAAGAAAGAGAATAGGTTCTGCTTCCAGAGAGTTAGTTTGTAAGTCAGACATCTTAATAACACAGAAACGTTAAAAATAGGAAGGTTGTTATGCGGAATGCCGTCAATTATGGTCTTCTATAAATTCCTTTTTGGTAGTGATGTATGTCTGGTGTTATGTACCTGTATTTCGCTTACCACGCCTGTCGTATTATTTTATATATTGTCTTTGTAGGATGAGAGGGAACGGATAGAAGACATGGGAGGTTGTGTCCTGTTCTGGGGGACATGGAGAGTTAATGGACAATTGGCTGTATCTAGAGCAATTGGTAAGTAGTTTTGTGCTGTTTGCATATCGAAAGCTTATATTTAAACCTTCGCCGACCACTGAAGTAGAGAAGCCAAGAAAACGGGTTTTGTACGGTTTGCCACAACTCGATCTGGACGTTTCTCGGGAGGCTTTCTTTTTTACATGTAATTATTACTTATTGCTGCCCTCCCATATAAATTTATTAAGGCATCTGAAGTTCTTTCTGCAACTTTTTTTTTACACAGTATGCCAGTTATTTAGAAAAGTTATTTTTGTAAATTTTGGTCCAGAAGTAAACACATTCACAGGTGCTGTTTGATTTTAACTTTGTTTTGTGTAAAATTTGTTTTCATTCCACTGCATTATTTAGTTGTTTTTGATCTTATAATAAATTTTAAGATTTTTCGAAGTACTGTATGATCGTATCATATAATATCATAATTATAGGAACTGAATAAGGCTGTCATTGTGGTATCTTTGGACTACAGTTCCATTCTCTGATATTTGAAATGTCAGGATGAGGCTTCCAGTCAGTCAGAGGATGGAGACTTCTAATTTCTGAGAAACATCAACGAACCAGCCCACCATAACTCATTGTCTTCATTCGAAGATTAAAACCTAAATTATGATTTTTAATCTTCCTTGATAGAAGTATACTACTTCTATGTACTATGTAAAAATATGGGTCCAGAATAGATTACGTTATTTTATACGTAATTGCTTTGTTAAATCAGATGCTAGCAAGAGACAATGGAATTATTTGAAGGTATGCCCCGTTTGCATCATATGCCCGTGTTTGGTTCTAATGTATTCAAATAAGGTTAATCTTCACATCTGTGTCCTTTGCTGCTTCTGTTGGGAAGTTCCCATTGTCCTTCAAAGATGATATGACCGTCACATTCCGTATCTTCTCACGCCCATTGTCTCGGTAGGAAGTGACGGAGCACAGGTTTACACAGTCGGCCTAAGGCTCGTGAAACTTGTGTGTCATTCTAGGACAACTTTATAATTTTACCACGTTGTCCAGGTCGTGTATCGGAAGGGGCAGACATTCTTTGTTTGTCTGCTCTTGCTTTATGCTTTCTCTTCTTCTTTTCAATATCGTAATTGGAAAAAACTGACGTTACATTTTATGTGATAGAAATTCTATCAGATTATTTCTTTATTATGAAGTAGTGCCAACCACTACACCATATACTCACTAGCTAGTTATTTTGCTAATTGTTTAGTTAGTTAGTTGGCTAGTTTAATTAAATTAATTAAGTTTATGACATTTTATTTAACATATGGTACCAAGTTTTATTCGTGCTTGTAATTTTGGTATTGTTACTTATTAGTGGTCAGATAGAGGTAGACAGATGAACTGACATGGAAAAGTTTATTAAGTGTTTTTCAGAAAAATAAATTTTAAAATGCACCTGGAAATGTATAAATTAATCCGTACTGTTGGAAGTTTTCCCACCCCTGTTTGCGTGTTCAAACTATGGAAAGGCAGCTAGATTGTATTCAAGTTGTCTGTAGCCATAACTGTTATGTTTTGTTCTGGATGGCTGCCCCTCTTGCAGCACTTCACACCATAAATTGGAACGCTACAGTACAGTTCTGTTCACGGTAAATACGTTATTTGTAAAACAAATTACAAACATTTCCTAATAAATTCCTGTTTGGCCTCTATCTACATTTAAAAATAAAGGTCAATTACTCTTACTCCCAAATATTTTCTTTGAAATTTTGAATGTATAATTGGTAATTATGTTAATTTATTGTAATATAATGTGTTGTTACATCCAGACATAACTCTGTTGTTATCAGAGCTAACAGACAGTACAGATGTGACACTTCCCAGATGCATCAAATAGACACCATGTTATAGTACAATATGATTTTCAATAAAAGCTGTACACCTAAGGCTCTGGCCACACGACCGTATAAAGCACGTCCGTTGTAACGCACGTCGTGACGTCCGTCATAGAACTATGAAGGGGCATATAGGGTACAACACACGAAGCACGCGACATGCCCCTTCATAATTCTATGACAGACGTCACGACGCGCGTTACAACAGACGTACTTTGTACGGTCGTGTGGTCCCAGCGTTAATGACATTTATATTTTCTGTAGTCCTTATTATCAGTTCTTTTTCCGTGCAGTAGTGAAGGCAGGGAATTTCTACAATACCTGAGTGAGTGTTGGTTTCTGATGAAGGATGTTACTGTGCGACAACAAGGAAGAAGTTCTGACCCAGCAATGTGAGGCTGCATAATGAATTAAAATTGCGTCTGTTATGACAAGATAATCGTATTTCCGTATCTTTCATGCGTGAAGATTACCTTGTTGATCAACCTCTGTCTAGTGGGTCTACCTTTGAAATCCACGTTTCTTACACATACCTTTCCCATGAAATAATTTTTAAGTGTTGATTTTGGATCTTGTTCCTTCTTGTTCATTCCATAGAAACTTTATCTCCACATCTTATAATCTGCTTTCATCTTTCAACAGAATATCTGACTTCGTCTGAGTTCCTTTATTAAATATGCAGCAATAAAAATTAATCTGACTGTCCAATGCAGGAGGTAGATTGTGGCCTCCTGTGGCCTTTTATTATAGACGTTTCTTTGTAATGGATTTTTTTCCCGTCCTGAATTGCCCGTGTTATTTCAGGCTTGCTCTGAACTAGTTAATTGACTTAAGGTGAAGTTAGCAATTGCTTTGACACTGAAGAAATTCCATCACTGTCATTACATAAGTCACATTTATCTACTTTTAGTAATCATATTTTCATGAAGTGCATTTTAATATTATCTATTTGTGTCCCTTCTACCAAAGAACTTCCTTTTTTTCAACTAATCAGGAAAAGATTTGTTCTGTATTGCTCCAGTGTACAAAGCAGATTGCTTGCGAAGAGTAACATTGTTCTGTACGGTATTCAAATTTCGTCGCTTTAAACATTGCGTTTCAGGTGACATGGCGTACAAACCGTACGTGACTGCCGACCCTGATGTGACGGCCGTTCCCCTGAATGGAACTGAGGACTTCCTTGTGCTAGCTTGTGATGGGCTCTGGGACTTTGTCACCGAACAGGAAGCGCTTGTGGCCGTGTATCAGCAGATATACGAAGCACCAGGTAGGAACATGCTTTGCGCCAATTGTTCAGAGAACCAAGAAAGTGTCGTGGATGTCTGAAATCCCTGCTTTTTTTTTTAGCTTCTGAGGGTTAATACAATCCACACTTTACACGCTGATGAAATCTGATGTTATCTGTTCTCTAAAAATTATTTTGTCATAATTGGGACGTAAAATATAGAAATTATTAAGAACTATACTTTTTTTAAGTGAAACGTATTTTAATACTGTTAATAATTTTCAAAAGAAGAATCATTTTACATCTGTGTGTAATGTAATGTCCGTGTTGTTACCTTTGTCAGAATAATTTTATTTCGATGGTAAATACCCATAATGTCAAGATGAGCGATACAAAATCTTGAAGAATGTGCCTTGAAAATTATATACTCCCAACTGGAGTACAGCTTTCGGCCACTTTCTAAACATACCAAAAGTTTTGTGATTTATCAGCGTGCATTTATTCATAAATATAAGTACGCAGCTTTGTGGAAACGGTGCACTGAAGCAAAGGACTTCGCTCATCCATGACATAGCACAAGTAGATGTTTCACTACTCTAAACTGTATTATAATCTTTCATCGAGCAGAGCCGAGTAACGATTTTAATTCTTATATGCTGCTTCGTTAAGAAGTTTCTATAAAAACGTATTATTTACGTATCACGTCAGACTTTCCCGTCATTCTTGACAAGCGGCTTGCTAGTTTAGACACCGTTTCTGTTAGTATAGATCCCGAGTAAATTTAATTTGTCACGTGTCGCCTCAAAGTTTCACACCGTTGACGTGTCTGTAATCAGAACGGAATTTGTAGGTATGTTTATGATTTCTCTCAATCCGGTGTTTAATGTGCCTAGCTAAAATGCACCGTTACTCGTAATCATCAAATTTAAAGTAGTTGTGCAGCCGCCATGTTGTTTTATAGTCTAGAAGAAAATTACGGGAATAGAAGAAACTGCATATATTTTTTAAGGTCCATATCACGTGGTTTAAGTTTTTTTCTTACTTCACCCTCAGATGTTTGTGTTGGTGGCAAACAATTGATTTTAGTTACAATTATTAGGTCGCCACAAGTAGCGTGATGTTCGTACCATCACATCACATCCTGCACAACAGGAACGCGCATGTTATGTAAGATTTGAGGTTCTCACAGCGGTGAGTATGAAGATTTCTGTCTTCTGGGTTGTTGCGCTGTGCAGTCTGGTAGAAGTTTACAGCAGAAGATTTCTGTCTTCTGGGTTGTTGCGCTGTGTAGTCTGGTTGATGCTAACCAACGTTTCAGAGGTCATACTGCCTCCGTCATCAGGGCGATGAATGAAACGTTGGTTAACATCTACCAGACTACACAGCGCAACAACCCAGAAGACAGAAATCTTC